TTAGAATCAGCTGAACATAAAAGTTAGTTAAAGCCCTAGATGCTGGGATAATGAAGATGAACTTATGACAACAAAAGTTATCTAAATAACAACAAATGTTATTTATATTTGGAATTCTTTGCTTCTAAAGAAGAATTTTTATCATCTTTATACCATGTGTTTTTTTTTTTTCCTTTGCCACATTTACAAGGTACGATGTATGCCTTCCTGAACTATATTTTATAACTCTAACAAACCCTGCGGTAATCTTTGTAAAAATACCTGTTGTGATTAAACTCTGACCTCCACTCATTACATATCATATATCTACGGTATGTTTCTATACTGATACACATTTAATATATGCTAGTTAATATGACCAAAAAATATATTAATGACAAGAGAACACAGATAGTTTAACAATGAGAGAAATATGTACCCTTTCACAAAACCCTTTAGTAATCTAAAAATTAAAATTAATATAACCGTACTTTATGAAGAAAATGTCCAATCAGTAAGATATATCCAAAGATAGAACTGCTTCCTGATAGACCTTACAGGATTACTTATAAAGTTTATGTTCAGTTACCTGATACCACCTGTAATGTCACTTATTGCAAAGAATATTAATCTATATAGAAAACTTGAAGACCTAAATCTTGAAATTTTGAAGACTTACTGGAGACTCAATTTATAAAACCATATCAAACTCCCTTATTTTGGCAAGTAAAAATATAAGTATCTTCTGCTTATTAATGTAATTATTATTGGCAATGTTTAAAATTTCCTGTGACACCTTGGAGGAGGGGAAATGAGGAAAGTAATCAAATGTGGATACACCCGTCGTTACTGTATGGATCTTAGTCAAATAAATAAAAGTGGCAAACGGGGACTGAAACTAAGCTTCTGTCTCTAATGCTCCAGCTTTTTACTGCCTTTTCCATTTTACTTCCAAATATGTTATATATACACTACCGTTTGCACTTTATAGAGGCTCAAATGTATAAATCTGTACAGATCAAAGAACATTTGTACTGGTTCTCCTTGTAGTTAAGCTAATAGGACTTAGGAATGGTAACAGAACACAGTTTTAGGCACATGTAAAGCATTAGGTTCTATGATGCCATCCCTATAAAGCATAGCTATCCAATACTAAGAAGAATTCTAGGGGTTGAAGAGTTATTGGTCCCAAATAACTTGATTCCCTAATCAACCCAGTCACTATAATCACAGTAAAGATAAATGCATAGCTGTAGCTTTAAAGTACAGAAAACTTATTTTTATTGGTTAAGAGGATGACTACAGCAGTCTCTCTCCATGCCTTATTTTTTTTTTTTAGTTCTTTACTTTTCTTTGTATTATTCTTTTGAATCTTAAAGTTTCATATATTTCTTTGGCTTCCCTTCTCAGGGATTTTGCTGAAATGGATTTGATTTACTTAAAATCAACTTGTTTTGTTAACTTTTTGAATGCATGGTAATAAAGTAATAGTAGAGCTCACTCAACTGACTAAAATTATCTACTTTAATGATTAACAAAAATAAATATTCACTAACTGATTTTCCTATTTAAGAGTACATAAATATTTATATTCAGACAAAAAATAAATTTGAGCATATGTTAATTATATCTGTGCA